GTATCCACAAATGAAGCATTTCATGCAGATGTTTCTCCAAATCAAGAATAACGTGAGGCTAATTTTCACAATCTCTGACAGTGAAGTATTTCATCATGAGATGGCAGCTGCATGGGGTTGCTTTAGCCGGCCCATTTAAATGCACAAAACAGGACTTTTATACCTTCAAGTTCATAACCTTCACAGGGAGGATTTGGCAGCCCATGGTGAGTAACTTAATATGGATGTCTTAACAAGGCTGAACTCAGACTGAACAGTAAAACAAACCTTGAGATCCTCAGGCTATTTCAGTCATCATGTTCATGATTTTTCCCAGTATCAGAGTCCAGGCTGAAATCAAGAGGTTATCTTTGCTGTACTGATGCCTGAGCGCTGGAGCAATTTCTATTTACTATGAGGTCTGCTGGCACTGCCTTTGTTTTTAAGTCTCAGCGTGAAGCCATCTTTGAAGAACTGCCTGACTGACGAATATCTGCATGTTTCTTACATGATAGTGCTCTGTCATGATAACCCTGAATGATACCATTTTGTCAATTTGCTCTGGTTTATTTACTGTACATTATAACATATAATACATTATTTGATAGCAGACAGAAAGACAGGACACAATGACAGGGCATGACATGCATGTCAAAGGCCGGTGGCAGGAACGTTACAGTTGTAAGTTATGTAGGCCAGTAGGGTTTCCTGGCTGCTCGGCTTTGTGTGATATTTTTGTTACAATTTTCTTATTGTATCCTTAGGGCATAGCTTTTATGTATTGTTCTGAAGCTTTGTGGCAAAGTGTTTTTTTTTTTTGTTTGTGAGTACCTAATGTATTACCCCACATGCGTTTTATTCTCCTTACTCTGGAAATTATTTTGCTTCTCTGTGCTATTTCCATACATAAACATTAAAAAAATTAATTAGTAATGTATTTGTTATTACAATATTATTATATTAAATCTCCAGGTCTGCTACATGTTCCGTTCTTGGCATTCCAGTGTCATCATTAGACTTCATTAATCAAACATAAACATCCATTTACACTGTGAATACATGTTAAAGTATTCTTCCTCCTGTCAAACCCTGGAGCCAGTTGAACCCGCTCTTCAGAAGTTCAAACTAAGCCTAGTTCTGAGGTAAAGTGTTTATTAAGTGTAGTTTCATGCATGACCAAATTGAAACGGGTTACACCACACAAACTAGTTCTTTTGTGGTTAAACATTTACACCCACTAACTGCCAGGCGTATCTGTAGAGAACTGAGGCATCTGACAAAACTAACAGTAGCTTAGTTAACATATCTGACCTGAAGCTTGATGAATCCTGTTTCCTGATGCAATAAACCTGAGGACTGACATCTGAAGACTTACTGAAGAATAACATCTGACTATACTTGAATACTATTAACTCTGACAGACACATACATGTACACAGTCATACATTAAACAAAGTAAGATCTTCTTAGCCTCTAAAACTGTAATTTTTGTATGTTATGCCTGCTTGCAATGCTGAGTTGACTTTGTGTTGACATTGTTCATTGATCATGTTTCCTGTTGACTCTCAGTGTACATGTCAGTTTCATTAGCCTATTTCTCCAGGCATCAGCTGAGATGATAAGTTGATTATATTTGCTTTTGTTTTCCAGTTTTCTATTATAAAAAAACGTTTTAGTTTTTTTTGTTAAAGAAAATAATTCTCAGATGCAGTGATAATGGAAATAATTGTTGGTTGTAACATTTTAGCTTTCCTATGGTGGAATAATATTACTTTGCCTGAGGTCTTCTGTGTGTTAATTAATTGACGCACAGAAACAAATTGAAGCAATTTAATAAAACAGCAAGACCAGGCTACAAGATGGAGCACCCATCATAATTGATATTGAACTGTACAGGAGTGCAAATTTCCGCAAAGACGCAACTAATAAGATTCTGTATTCTCAAATGATAAGAGTGAACCTGGCGCCTCATGGGCCCCTGGGGCTTCTGGAGCACCTGCGCAGTTCCATGCTTTGCCCAGTTGGTAATCCATCCTTGAACTACAATGTTAAAGTGCACAGTAGTGTTGAGGCGATTATGTGCAGATACGTCCTTCATCATTAAATATTTCAGAAGTAGCACCATAAAAAAAAAAACACCTTGAGAGCATCACCAAATGCTTCGAAATATTCTGATATCTTCCATTAATCTGCTAATAGCTGTGGCACATTAACAGATGAATCATTGTGTCCACAGTTTTATTGATTTGTCATATCTGTCTTCAGTTTGCAGTTGGTGACAAACAGGAGCAGATGACAAGCTGCCCGGAGACAGAGCGAGATGTTAAACAGAGGTGACAATCTCTGAGGAAGGTGGAGAATTTGCCACCAAGTCTGATACTCAAGATGCTTCCAGACACACACACACACACACAACACACACAACACACACCACCACACACACACACACACACACACACACACACACACACACACACACACACACACACACACGAGGGAAATGCAGAAGTAATTCTTGACAGCTTCCTTTTAAGGTTATGGTGGGAGCTGTGAATGCTCCCTGGCCGGTGTCGTCTTTAAGTTAAAGGATGATGCTGGAAATAGCAACACTTATTTGTTAGTAGCAAAAGAAAGCATGTGGATCATAAAGAGAAAGAAACCTAGAGTGGCTGGGTCTCGCTTCTTTCTTTTTATTTTCTTGCTTTTTTAAAGAAAGTCAAATGACAAATTGGTGTCCTGCGCTGATCCCGCACTGATAGTGGCCACTCCTTCACTAAAACCCAAACTGTGTGCAGTGTTTGGGTCAGTTTAGTCCAGAGTCAAAACAAGGCTGAAACAGAGAAGAGATGATGAACTTCAAGGGGACTACACCCACGGCTCAGCCAAACACACTCAGAGAGCCCTGATTCTGTTTACACAGTGGAGGCTGGATGTTCAAGGGAACACACTCTGCATCGCATGTAATTGCTTGTGATTCACTCTCTTGACTTCAAAGACGGGGAGTGCTGCAGTTCAAGGGTCAAAGGCTCGACTGTTGCCCAAATGCCCCCCAATTTCCTGTTTTGTCTGGCTCTGTGAGTCTAAAGGGATCTAAAATGTGAAGGCCACGTTCTGTCGGAGCCGATGAGACAAAAGGCACCGCTCCTGTCTGCTTATCACTCTCACTCCCTGCTTCTTCTTTTTATTTTATTATCTCCGGTTTGATGATTTTTGTTTTACTCTCATTATTTTACTCTTGCAATCGTAGTGGGTTTAATCTGTTAAGGTTTTTTTTTAGGTTACAGCATGCAAATTACTCACAAAGCCTGGAAAATGGAATGCAGCCTCAACTCCCTTATTTCATCTTGTCAGGATGAACCCTTTTTTACTGCCATGGTAAACAAGAGCCTCACTCTCCCACTCTTTTCCTTTCTCTCCATCTTAAATCAGCAGCCAAGACAGGGACTCTCACATGAAGTTATTTTCAGAGACAGACTTCTCCAAAGCAAGACATTCTTCATGCTACGAAGAGAAGAGTTTGCATATGAACAAGCTTCGATCACGTGTCAAGTTTTATGTCTCAGGTAAACGTTTCAAAGCTCTGCACATCTTAAGGAAAACACAAGTCAGGAAACACAAAGTACTTATGTGAGTTTTGAGGGGGTGGGGTTACGTGCGAGTGAGTGGCCCCAGTGCTAAATTACACTGCAACATGGTCCCTCTCAAAGCCCACATCTGGGATTGGCCCTGACAACTGGATGCCGTGCTGCTCTAATTTTGGTTACTTTGTTTATAACCCTATAATAGAGACAGTATAGGACCACAGGGCTGGAATGAAGAAGGGCAGGCAAAGTAAAAGCAGTCATTTTAGAAAAAAAAGCTTGCGGGGAAGTTGAAGTTTAAGGAAAAATATAAAGCTAGGTAAAACAAGCTGTTTTATATTCCTGTATTGTATTACGGCGAACTTTGTAGTTGCCTTGCTGTTTTGTTTCCTTTGAACAGGATTCACACCATTGCCATGATTCCCCTACACACCTGAAGGAGAATGCAGGTTGTAGCTTGTCGAGTTGGGTAAGCACGGATGCAACAATAATGAGAATTCTGTAATTATATTGGGAGCAGATCTGGGCTTTACCAGCCCACTCACACTCTTTGGAGTCTGAGAATGAACATAATCACTGAATGCATTTTGTCAACACTTGGATAGACTGTATAAAGTCACTTAGTAGACTTGATAATAAACAACATTTTTTTGCCTGAGGACAGGGCTCAGCTCACCGGATGGAAACAGACACGTTAAATGTAGCTGTGCACCGAGTAGTTGACATTTCTTCAGTATTAGGGGATTAAACTGTCATCTGTGCATTGATTTGTCAGCTCCAATCTTAAATCTCTAATCTCAAATATGTGAGCAGTTTCAAGAGTCACTGGAAAAAGACAGGTGATGAAGTCTTAAGTGCCGCAGCCAGCAAACTTTAATGTGGCGTTCCTCTTCATTAATTCTCAAAAAAATCTGTCTACATGTCACAGTGTATTTAAAACTGTGTTGTCAACTTGCCTGAAGCTGCCTCATCATTCACGAGGCTGTGCTCATATATTTATGGAAACTGGGGATTCAATGTAAATTCAAATATGGACAGGAAATCCAGACAAATTCTTTCAGTAGATTAAACAAGGTGTTTCAATCAAATTACTCAGGAGTTTTCATTGTCAGTACTACATGACTTTGATAATTGTTTATTTGTGCAAGTCATTTATCAAGCAAAATAAATGGAATATTTTTGGATTGGACTATTACTTGGACAAAATAAAAAACTGTGATGGTCATTTATTCACTATTTTCTGACATCTCATAGAGCAAACAAGGGATTGATTAATCTAAAAAAAAAAATTATCAATACATTAATCAGTAATGCCAATAATTCAAATTAAGTGGCATACAGTTTTACAACATTAAAAACTGAGCGCGCTCTCCTGAGATCACAATTCATCCTGCCTGCTCTTCCTAAAGTTTGTAGAAGTAATGACAGGAGAACCGGACATCAGGACGGTTCTTTTATTTCCTCGCATTTAATGCATAAACCAACTTAAATGTCTTTTTTATTTGGATAAATGGACCATTTGAATACTGCCAAACCAAAAAGATGACCACAGAATGACAAAAGTAAAAATTATTGCCAAAAACATGAATTCAGATATTAATTTGACATACTAAACAACAGAAATTAACAATAGACTATGAAATGAAACTATGGACACCTGGGCTGTGAACTGTAACAGCCATTATGGTACATGACTTTAATTTTAGCCAAATATTCCTACTTTTGACCGAGGAGGCTAAAATTTTTCATTTCTCTATGAAAATCACATTAAAACCGTTTAAAGTGTGTTAGAAATCCTTTAAGTTGGACCCAGTCATTTATGCTCCAATGTATTTATTAAGGCACCAAAAGCAAATTTTAGCCTCCTAGGAAAAGCTCAGTACTTGAATTCATGACTGAAGGAACAATGTTTAGAAACAAAAAACAGAGAGAAAGAACCTGACAACTGAAAAAAAAAAATCTCTTCTGATATATAATAATATCATGATAAACTCCACACACTGCAGGAAGATTTTTATTGCAAAAATGTTCCCATTTTCCTATTAAAACTTGATTTATAACCAGTTGATTTTATAAGTCTTAATAGCTCACAAACAAAATCTGTTGGCTCGGTATTGAAGGATCACTGATGAATTGTGTTACATCAGAGACATTTCTGAAAAATAAAATAAAATAAAAGACATTCCATGAAAAACGTGGCACTGATGAAACAAATTCAGTTTGGACTCATTTTCGTTATTGGGGGGTGGTATGTGGGGTGTAACTGAAAGTAAATCTGCTCTTAAATCTCTGCTTGAGGACAAATGATATTTGGACCGTGACATTATCTAAGTAGGGAACATTTCATTTCATAATTTAGGGGGAAAATTGGATTACAAGAAAAAGCAGGAAGAAAACATGGAAAACAAGATTCCACAGTATCAGATTTGGATCGAGTTTAACTTAATAACAAAATTTCTTCCTAAATAACTTATGAGTTCCTCGCCATCCGTATATTAGATTATAAAAATACTGCTCCGTCTGCTCTGCAGCATCAGAATCTCTTCATCTGTCTGCGCTCTTGTCTTCTCTGCTTCTTCTCATTCACTTCCTCTGGTGCTGATGGGCTTTCTGCCATAAACCAGGGGCCCAAAAAATTCACCCAGAGCAGGTGCAGGGCACGGGCCGGGGCCTGACACACACGCACAGAAGACAAGAAAAAAAAAAAAGAGAAAAGGAATCAGGCAGGAAAATAGCAGCTATCTCATAGGATTGATCAGGGAAACTGGGCACAGAACATCATCCACAGAAGCTCTTACCAGCAGCCAAAGATACCAGAAATACGAGGAGATTGTGCTGAGCACTTGTACTATGGCTGTGAGCAGGATGACGTCCTTCAGGTGCCTAAAACCAGAACACACAGACAATAAATCATGACTGAAAAATGCCATGTTTCAGTGCACACAGAAGATCTTTGTGCTCTTAGGATTAGTTTCATTATCTGGGGGACACAATGAAGTCAGGGGTTCTTCAACAAGACAAAAAATGTGACTGCTATTTATTTACACACTTTATATTAAACTGGGAAATAATATATTATAACTAAAGGGGTCTTTGTGTCATCCATAAGTAAAAATAGAAATATAGCCAGAACTTCTATATGTTTAATGCACAAACCCTACTAGAAATGACATAATTAATTAATTAAAATGATACTGTAATGATCTATTGACATCTCTTACAATATATACATAAAGAATACAGAATGCAAAGACTAAAATGTAATTTTATTCACCAAAAACAAAAAATTCCCATCATTGCCTTAGCACTGACTGATGTAGAGGTGTACCGTGTTTTTATTAGAATCGTAAACTACACATTGTCAGCTCAAAACAAAGATGTAAATTCAATCATTTACAGATTGCAGGAGGGTGAGCAGGATTTTCAGTCCTGAGTATTGTCTGTAAAGCTTCCTGTCCCAAACACGTGCCATCAATCAGAAGGTTAGAACAGGCTGAATTTAGCCTGATAGGTGAAACCTAGGGCAAAAAAAACAAACAAAAAAAACCCACCGATCGCTCTCAAGATGTATCATTGCTATGAGAGCAGTAAGTAACATTTTAAGACAACCTCAATAATACATCTACTGTATGCACACTGAAAATGCATTTGTCTTTCCCAGACACACCACCTTAATGGACAATAAGCATTTTGACTCCAATGTTCAGCATCCAGAAATATCCTGATAACTGATGCTAGTTCTAAGTTACCTCACACTTCAGTGTAAGCCCCTTGGATGTAAAACCATGTCCAAAAAATTTCAATTTTATTTGAATTCTTTTTCACAAATTCACGTTGTCATCGTGTATGTAGATGATAAAGACGGAGTTTCTCTTGCCAATATAGCTGAATCCTATTTGTATTGTGGGGATTACTTACTCTGCCATTCCCTGCTCCATGTTCAAGTCTATTCCTCCATCCAGGAGACTTCCATCCTCAGCAAACACTGGCTTGGCCATGGCAGACATGGAGCGGTAACTCCCAACATACACTGCTAGTGCAAAAGCAAGCAGCAGCTACAGGATCCATACAAGGTTTAGGGTCAGGAAGGGAGCGATGTTACAAGAGATTACATTATATGTGTGGATATTAAGATTTTAAACAGTCTTTATTAAATACACTCACCCATGTCCAAAATGTAGATGAACTGTAGAAAACCAAAAGATTTACGGCAGCGTATATCGCCTGTGGAGATGAGCAGAATATTTCAAATGGAGATGGACGACATGACAGGAAATAGAGTCGCAAAGATTATTCGATTAATCAATTAGGCAACTATTTTGATAATTCACAACAATCGTTACCATTATGTTTCAAGCAAAAACATGATCTGGTTCCAGCTTCTCAAATGTGACATTTAGCTGTTTTTCATTATCATAAATGACAATAAATTTAATATTTTAAGGATTTAGAGAGTTAGTCAGGCAAAACAAGCAAAATCACCACCGCAGCTTCTGACAAATAATGAATGCCATTGTTTCACTTTTAATATTTCATTGACTAAAAAATGTCAAGAAACTACAGAGCAGATGAATAAATGATCTAAATAACCGTTAGTTACAGCCCTACATTATAATCCATAAAACATTTTTCTATACGATTTGTCCCACACTATCAATTTCTTTACTATCTCAGGTAATAGTAGCCCATTACAGGCATTGTTGCAAACCAATGAGCAGGACAGAATTATGGTAATTTTGGATTCAATTTTTGGATGAAGTGACTTGATTTTTCAGACAATTCACTGTAACAGCCAAGGATAGTTTCACAACAGAATTTCCAGATTATGAAAAAGACAGATTTACACTATGAAAGAGGATTTTATCTATTGCCAACTGTACTGACTTGTAACTGATATAACTGACAGTTCAACACACAGTTATTTAGAAGTGAAGCATTAAAAACTAAGTGTAAACATAAAATAATATGAAACATGTAAAACATACTGGTACAAGTCAAAAACTGGGTCTGGCATTTCAAAGTGAAACAACACAGTCAACCTAGGTGCATGGACGACCGGCACCTGAACCCTTGAATGAAGAAGTTCAAGTTTGACAAAGTCATGAACGAGCCTTGATCCAGTGAGAACAAGGTTCATGCAGAATAGTTATCAGTCATTTAAAGTAAATACACTGGAACAGTGCAGTGTGCATCTCATATCGTGCATTTAGGAATTGACTGAACACACAAACACAAACACAAACATATCTCAAAAACAACATTGGGGTTCTTACATTAGCTCCTAGAATGACTCTTGTGTAGAACTTCAGAGTCGCCTCGTTCTCCTCATAGATCTGCTTCTTTCCCTTTGTGCCAACTTTACCTTTGGGCTGTTGGGCAAAACACAGAGAACAGTAAGTTTCAGCAACAGCAGGCAGTTTTTCAACCATATCAACCAAACACTGCAGGTGCAAAACAGGCTATGCTTTTCAGACATGCCTTCCTTTTGGCACTTGGCCAGACTTCCTGCTTTCTGAAGACAGTGAATGTAATTTACTATGTGACATTCATTTTACGGTTTCTGCTATATAACAATAATTTAGACTTCATTTAATCTGCAAACCTCAAGATTTGTGGATTTTATGTGTCTACACAATTTAAATATTAGATTTACAGCTAATAAAAAATAAAACAAATAATGGGGCATTGTATGGACTTAGAAATCAAATCAATCAAATTAAATTTTAGCATTGGGGAAAATGTATCTTTGAACTTTGGCTCCTCGCTGTTAGCAATAAAATATCACAAAGTTGTTTCTTTATTGCCCCTATCTACTTTCAGGCTCTTGAACGTGTAACATGTCAACTACCCAAGCAGAGTTACTTCTTTAGTTCAATAAGAGTATCGATACGAGCTGTTCTATTTGTGAAAACACAAAAAAATGGCAATTTCAAAAAGCAATGTAACTGCCAATTTTGAAAGTGGATTTCAAAAAGTGCTGAGGCTAACACACTTTCACAACAGTAAGTGGTGCAAAAATCGAAAAAAAAATCAAAAAATGCAAAAAAATGTTTAAGTTGTTATAAAACAAAACTCAGTGTAGTAGGAGGAATTTGAAAGTTTATAGAGGGTTTATAAAATGTTATTTAAGACCTTGAAAGACCTTTCTAAAAACATGTACAATAACATTTTACACATGGAAAAGTTTGACATTTATCTCCCATTTTGTCAGTACATTCTGATTGTACATAACAATTAGTTACATAATGAATTGATTAATGTGAATGAAACGCAGATAGGCGGCAGAATATTAATGGAGGGATTAATCATTTAAAAAATAACAAAGTGATTTAATTTTTTTCTAAACTTGACACTTGTCCATTATGAATCAGTGAGCTTCATAATTAATGCTCCCTATGCTTCCCTAATGCTAAGACTTTCTCTCAACTTCAAAGGCCTCTTTTGAAGGGAAGTGAACTTTTCAAGACTTTTCAAACTCTGCACACAACCTGAATTTCAATCAGATGACACCACATGTGAACAGATTAACCAAAATGCTTCTGGAAGTGATTAAACCTGCTTTTGGTTATTATGTGCACCCTTTTGACTTATTGTAACTGTGATTCAGCTTTGTTGTATATTCTGTCTGTGGAGAAAAAAGTGCTTGTTTTTCCCCTGCCAGTTTCCAGCTCGTGGTGGTCTCACTGTAGCTGAGGCGGATTTACCCCCACTAAACAGGTGAAGTGAATGTACGAGTGAATGAGTCAGGTGTTGTTGTCTCTGTTGTTGCTGCAGCTGCAGCTGCAGCTGCATGTGTCTGATTCTCTCACCGCCATTCGCTCTCTGACCCGGTGCTGCTGATTTCTCTTCCACTGCGTCTTCTTTCACATCGACCTCAATCTGACCCACTGCCGCTGCTCTCCGTTATTGTGTTACTGCATCGAAAAACAAAACAACAAACTCAGGAGTCTACCAGCGCTAACATTCCTTGTAACACATCAGCATTTGGGTATTTCTGGGGGACAACATATCCGGCGCATGAAAGTGTCGTCATCAACTCGTTATCGTCCTCGCCATAGCATTGGTCCTCGCGTGAAGTTTGTGGACAGGGTGCCATCTGCTGGTAAATTGAAATTTATTAAAATTTTTACTTTTGTTATTATTTATTTTATTATTATTTTATATCTATTTTATCTTTGATTTAATTCAATTTTAATTTAATTTTAATTGTATTGTAGTTTGTTTGTTTTTTATTTTATTTTATTTTATTTTATTTTATTTTATTTTATTTTTATTTGAATTTTATTTTTATTTTTATGACAATGGAATTTTTTTGGTAGGAAAACTGGTGAACAAAAATGGTGTGTTAGTGTGAGTGTCAGTGGTGGATCCTTTAGTAAATAAAAGCACCACAATTAAATAGGCTGATTTCTCTGGCTAAACTGCAGCTGCCATGAAACTGTGCACAAACTGCCGATGATAAAAAAAAATTATTAGCAAACACTCACTACAAAGGGATTATTATTACTTATTAAAAGCCTTCCTATGTTTAAGGAGAAAATTACAGTGCATTGCATTTCTTATGGTAAAGCGATTTGTTTAGAGGTACCAGAGACAGTAGAGGATCTTTGGAGGTACGATCTGTAACTCCGTATTCCGAGACACTATTTTTGACCCTCCTCGCACACCGTAACGAAGGGCAGTACCACTTTGTTTCAGAATAATAACATGACGGTGTCTGTGAGTCTCAGTGAAACTCTTGTCTTGTGTCGTTTAGGAAGCTTCAGCATGTTTCATAGCTAATCTAATGATAGCACAGTTAGGTAGAGAAGCTCACTCTTAAACTGACAGTTTACAAAATGGAATACATTCTCCAGGTGAAAATAGGCGCTTTGGTCGGTCTATTGCTCCTAACTCTTCTTTTTGGATTTATCCCTGCTCAAATCAAATGGTTCAGAAACACAAACGGGACAGGTTGGTAAACGCTGATATAACAGTATTGGTGTTCATTGGGATACCTTAAATTACCTATACATTATCTCTTAGCAAGAAGGTGCATTAAAATTGCCTGTAATCTCAGCTAAACAATGTGGATTAAGACGAATAAATTAAACATTTTCTTTGTTTGGATTATTTGTTGCTGTGTTATACCTATGCCGAATTATCAAAGGAAGGTCACTGATTAATTTGCAGTTGTCACTGCCTATTCTACGATGCGTTAACTTGTGCAGATAAATAAAACACCCTTAAATTGTCAGAAGTTTAAATGAAGTTTAGCGGAACACATTATGTCTCTCTACCGGGTATCAGATCGTGTTTTCACCAGCTGTGACTGAATCACGTGTTTTAGGTGCAGATTAGGTGTAGAGGTAACAAACATCCTCTGATTTTATCAACTGTGACCTAGAAACTGTTAACGATATGATGACAGTTGCTGCGATTACAATGGTTAATAGTAGGGTGGGCTTCAATCTTTGATCATTAGACAACCATCATTCTGAGCGGGAACTACAAATTCTTCCGTAAATGCTACATTTTCATGGAAAATTTCCATATGGTGTATGATGGTCTGACACCGGTTACTGTCCAGCCTAGAAATGTAACATGTAAGGTCTTTACTACCATTAGTAAACCCCCCTCTCACCCCTGGGCTGGAGTCACCTGATAGGGATGAAGCCCGACGCCTAAAGCCTTCTTAACACAGGCTATCAGGATGCTGACATTTTTTTTAAATGGAAGTGAAAGTATAATTTGTCTCCTTTACAGGAGTGTGTGTTTGCGTGCTCTGATGAGTCATTTTGACTTCTCATGATTTGTCACATGATCCCCCAACAATTATTGTAACTTTGGAAGACAGTAAAGGCAATGATTTTACTTGGAGTGCCATGAGTGAGATGTACCATCAATGTCTTCAATTACAGGCTAATTAAATAATAATGGCTTTTGTTTAAGCAGTTGATGATAAGAAGTTTGAAAATGTAAAATGGCCTATTAATTCACAGAGAATCATAATAGATTTTGCACAAAATCAGAGCATCACATAACTGAGGCTAAAATAGGAAAATATGCTTTATTTACTCTGCAGTTTGTCGGCATTTTGTCTGTATTTGTGTGTCAAGGCCTATGTTGAAATATAAGAAATATTTTATCTTTTCATTTAAAGAAACCCACCGCATTGTTCTGAGTCTGATCAGCTGTTTTGCCGGGGGAGTCTTCCTGGCGGCATGTCTGCTCGACATCATTCCAGATTATCTGTCTGACATCAACACTGAGCTGGATGCTCGAAAGATAGAGGTACGTCCAAATATGGACTGATTTGGACAAACTCTGGACCTGAAAAAAATGATGCAATTAAGAATTGATTTTATTGAAATTGTATCTGTCAGTATTTTTTTTCTGCTGTCCAAATCCATTCTCTAATTCTTCATTTTACCAGACTCACCCTGCAAACTGTTTAATCTCAATATCGGTCTGCAACAGACCAGCTTCCCTCTTCCAGAGTTCATCATGGCTGCCGGCTTCTTCACAGTCCTCATACTGGAGAAACTTGTCCTGAACTGCCGGGAGATGGGAGGGGCTCAGGAGGAGAGGGCACCCCTTATACCGGACAACAGAAACGGGCATGGGCATGGTCATGGAACAAGCCCTGATCTGGAGAGCAGCGGCCACCACGTCCACGTTGACTTTCAGGCTCACTCTCCCTTTCGTTCCTTCATGCTCTTCCTCTCGCTTTCACTCCATTCAGTTTTTGAGGGTCTTGCTATCGGCCTACAGGACACTGATTCAAAGGTAAGAAGAGAGAAAGTACTTCACCTGGTGTTAAAGTTAAATCTGCGCAGAGTTCCAGAGAATGTGTAGCATTTGTTGTTTTCTCCACTTTCTTTTTTCCCCACACTTTTAAAGAGCGAAATAGAGAAGCAAAGTCAAGACCTCCTTTTCAACCTTTTAGTTCTGATGTCTGGAGTCTTAAAAAGGTCTACAGAGTTCAGTCTGCTGTCACGACAGACATGTGTGGGGTAACTGCAACCCCAGACTCATTCATGGACTCATCTGTCAAGCAGTGATGTTTAGCCTGTGAATATCAAGGGCTTATGGGAAGTGGTGTTTGTTAAACGAGGCTACAATATATATATATACTGAATAAACAACGGTAATAGATAATTTTTCAGTTCAAGCAGTTGAACAAGTTGAAGCAAGCCACATGACATACTCTTGAGAATGGCTCTGATCCAAGGCTGTACTTTTAGTTATTAGTGTTGCTGTAAATGTGAATGGTATTTTTTTTTTTTTTTTTTAGTTTTCTTACTTCTGGAGCAGAACCAGGAAATTCTGGGTTCACTACAGCTCTCTACGTTACCTCTCTGGTTCTTCGTGCTTTAATGCATGTTTAATGCATGCACTTTGTAAACATTTGTCTTAGGAAAGTGCAGTTCAAATAAAGTTGGAATCATATTCACAGCAGTATATCTAGAAGAAAGAAGGGTTTCAGTTTATAGCTTCAGGACGCTTTGACAGGAAAGGAATCTCACTGTCATGCAGGTCAAATCTGTTTCTTCTAGTCACAAGACAGCCTAAGCATTGAGTTTTCCCTCAGGGCTTTTCATCTACATTTCGTTGTGTGTTACGTGTGTCAGCTGGCAATTTACTTCACTATTTAGAAAAATAAACTTTAGATTCAATGAAATAAATTGATTATGAAATACAAACGTTATTTAATTGAATTAATCCCTTTGCAATTAAGATCTCATTCTCAAGGGACACCTAAGTATTTTAACGACATTATTCAAAGTTACAATACAAGATGTCAGAGAAGAGTAATATATGTTAGAAAAAAGGAATGGTGACTAAGACAAAGAATAATAAGGTAAAACAAGTACACTCTAAAAACTGGGATTTGAAACCGCATTCCTCAGGAGGCCTGAGTGTACCATTAATGCGGGACAAAGCCTGAGTCGACTGTATGAAGGAGGAGTCAGCTTATAGAGTAACTTAACACCGTGTTTTTTTGCTGAGCTGCAGTAGTTGAACTTCTCAACCTGCCACAGTGAAGAAGAAGTGTGCTCAGGATGTGGTCAGTGCACACTCACGTCCCTGTCAGATGAAGTTTCAGGTGCTGAAGAGCAGATTTGTAGATGGAACATCTAAGTTCATGTTAATTTCCAAAAGGGTTCCTCTCTGAATTCTAAACCCATGTGTCACAAATGATAATAAATCAGTTATGGGCTATATATAGCTTAAATCTAAGAATATTATACATTTTGATATCAGTACATGAAATGAGACAGTTAATGGATAAAATAACCAGACATGAATATCAGCTTTGAGTTAATCCAGCATATTGGATACTTGAAAAATCAGGATACAAAAGAATAATAAATGAAACGATTACCTGAGATATTACAGGTATAGCTGTATGGTATAAACAGCATAGCATTGTCCAATAGTTTTGTCCTATTACCCAGTCTTATTTACCCACTAAAACTCAACCAACCTTTATCTACAAAATCATCAACATTTACTATTGTTTCTGCAGGTTGCTTCTTTGTTGACCTTTTATGGAGAAGAGAAATAACCATAAAAGCTCTTTGTATTCTCCAGGTATTAGAGATCTGCATCGCTATACTTGTCCACAAGAGCATCATAGTGTTCAGCCTGTCTGTGAAGCTGGTCCAGAGCGCAGTTCGTCCATTGTGGGTAGCTGCTTACATCGGAGTATTCGCCTTGATGTCGCCTTTAGGCATCGCTATCGGCATCAGTGTGATGGAGGCTCAGCTAGAAGCCGGAGCGCTAATTCAGGCCATCCTGGAGGGGCTCGCTGCGGGGACGTTTATTTACATCACCTTCCTGGAGATCCTCCCACATGAACTGAATTCCCCTGGGAAGCAACTTCTCAAGGTGCTCTTCATCCTGCTAGGCTTCAGCATCATGGCAGCTCTGACGTTTTTGGACTGAGATGTGTCAGGACGTGGCCTGGACACTTTGTGCCAACTACTGCAGCTGCCATACATTTGCAGGTGACCTTTGTACAAGATAAATCATTTTTACTAGAAAAGAAGAAGTAGGTTTGCTGACGCACTGTTAAATCCAACTCTGGAGTTTTTATCGTCAAAGGGAGCATGACAACAGATGTTGGTGTTTTATTGCTTTCAATATACTTTCAATATACTTTCAAAAAAATATATATATAATATCTTTTTAAGAGGATTTTATGTAAAGAGAAACCACTTCCTGCGATGATAAGTTTGTTATACATTGAAAAGATGTGGCGTCTCACTGAGTCCCCTCATTTATCACTGCCCATGTTTGGAAACATGCTTTGGACCTGCAAACATAACCGTCGTCTCTGACCTTTGACACTATTGAGGAAACCCCTGGAAACAAAGGGCCTCGTTGTATGTATATGATACCTTGTAATTATTCCAATCATTTCAGTATATCAGTACCTCCAGATATGTAATGTTTACATTTTATGTGAAGCAAATTCAAACTGAGAACATGACAGCTTCTTGTTTCCAAAAAAACACTGTTTGTGCCTTCACTTTGGTTGAAGCTCTTTACTAGAGGCTCAGCTGGATGGTTGGTCTCTGTATAATTGTTATTAATGATGTTTCCACTGACCCGGGTTTATTTAGTAAATACTGGCATTTTAGTGCGATGCTTTTAATTGTAGTTTTCACTATTTAGCTGCTTTTAAACAATCAACAGTTTTTATATTTGTCCAGCAAAGTAGTGTAAATGCAAACTGACTCCCTGATGCCTTACAAGGATGTGTGCACACAAAACAAGAGTGGCAATGATGAGAAAATATGTGGGATTTTTAAATAAAGAAGGAGTGATCATCTCCAGAAAATGTGCAAGGATAAAATGTAACTGAGTTTTAACAACCCACTATTTAAGCAAGCTGATCACTATTATTTACATTGTGCTGACCTTTGTCCTAGTTTAGTCCAGTCTGTTTTGCCACTTTGTCCAGTCTGACTTGACCAGACTGTTTGTCCATTGATAGACAAAATGCTGCTTCTTTATGTAAAAAAAACTTTGAGTTCCTCTATTTTAAATTTGGAAAAATAAAAAAGCTTTAAATATCAGGACAGAGACATGTGCAAGATAATTAATTGATTCTGTAAACTGATACATTTTATAGTCTATTACTAGTGCACACAACTGTATTTGTGTCAAGTAATCAAACCTTGCAGGACATTGAGTGCGTAAATTCATACTACTACTACTACTACTACTACTAACTATAGTATGGGCTGAGGGCCAAAACTATTTTTCATGGTCCACACATGTCAAAGAGAATGTATTAATAATAATAATAATAATAATAATAATAATATTACATACAGTATGTGCACTGAATTAAAAAAACTCAAACAGTGTGTAAGTGTGTGCATTTCATTTTAGCTGCAAACTGTCTGTGTTTAGTCACACGTCCTGTTTAAGTCTGTCATGTGATCGTCAGATTGTTCCCTGAGCAGAACAAATAGCAGGAAGTTGGAATGTGTGTGGGGTTTTTTTTCATGAAAAACCAATGTCAGCAATTTTACTAATGCCAATTCAAACATGTGTGTCTCATATGTTGTGCAGATTTGCACATTATCTGCATTTTTTAAATTTTCATTAAAAGGCCATTTGACCAAGACTGATGAAACAATTTACCCAAAAAAAGGAATGCAATTACTCACTGCTGTTACCAATTGTGCATTGTAATGTCTGTAAGTCATTTATGTACAAAAGCATGTTGCATTTTTTTTTTTTGTCATTTTGCAAGTTGACCTCCACTTGTTATTTTATGCCTTATGATCATTTATCTCATGCCAGAGGCGACTTTGTTGTCTGTTGTGTAAACTTAATGAGATTAAAGACAAAAGAGGAATTTTCTTCCTACATGTTCATTCTATGCAAAAGTTTCAGAGTCTATAATCATTGTTAGGTGGGTTATAGAATAATAATAATGATAGTAATAATAATATAAAAAATAAAATACACTTTTTTATACTTAGTGTAGACATACTTGAACTATAACTATTTACTCAAATTGCTCCTACATTTAAAGTAAGTTAAACACATATTTATTTTATAATAAACATACTGTATATTAATAGGTGTCTATTTAATTTGAATAAATAAAAAATACATGTTACAAAAATTACTTTAACCCCCTTAATTACAAGGTAATGGTATTAGTCAATTACTATAGTCAACTCCAGTGAATTTTAGTCAAGTACCTCTTGTATATAGTTAATACATTACATGTAATATTAGTATGTCAAAAATAGCGCTCTGGATAATTCAATCATTAGTGGGAATAAAGAAAGTGAACAAGGCAGCAGATTACTGGTGCCACTAGGTGGGAGTGTTTTCCTCTGATTGATAGCCTCCCTCAAAGAGGGCGGTGTTTTACAAAGGCAACATTAGAGGTCTGGAGTATTAGTTCTAGGAACATACTTTGCTGATGCAGGTTTAGGATTATCAATAAAACCATTTCACAAAGTTTTCTTAACTTTTAAAAGCCTTCTGGCCACCTTGATTAATTATGCTTTGAGAAGATATTTTGACATGTCACTCTAGAAAAAAAATTAGAGGTGTAAATAATAAAATCAGTGATTTCTTAATCATATTTGGAGGCTCCAGTTTTAGGGTTGTGGTAAAGTGAAAGCTAGTGCACTTTAACACTGTCATGTTGTTCTGAGACACTGGGAACTAGGAAAAAAGGAGCTTTGTTAAAGTTATCAGTAACATCTGTGCTTTTCTCACCAAGACAAGTCAAAATGTCTGCTGTGAAAAACAAGTCTCGATCAGTCCTTGTCTTCAGAGTTGAAATAATAGTGGTTTAGATTTGAACATCTTTTTCTCTTTCAACCCTGACGTCATAACCGCTTTTTCTCCCTCAGAAAACCTTCAACTTAGAGATGACATAAATATTTTATTAATTCAAACAGCAGAGCAGTAATGTGGAGGATTTTCTATGCATTTGTATTCCTACAGGCCTATTTGTTGTGACATAACTGGCAAGAATTCCTTCACATCAAAGAACTTAACTGGATACTAGAGACAAAAACACTTGTATAGCCATGTCTGATGTGGTACATGGAGGCATTGTTAACCCCTGGTTGTGTCTCCTAGGGAAAAGGAGGTTATTCATGAGCATCCACTAATGAGAGGTGGTGATGAAGCAACAATAGCAGAGTACAGTAAGTCTGCCAGTTCTGGATGACAGAGGCCTCAGTGTGTGGAGGAGGGAGACCCAGCAGAGCATCGAGCTTGAGTGTGGGATGGAGGCTTTCTCTGTTCACCCACAGCTCATTAGCTGTCCTAAGCCTATAAGGTCTGCTTTTTCATGCTGCGATGGCATGCCTTACTCTCGGGGTGCACTATGTCATGAGGAAAGAGAAAAATACGCAAGCCATGGCTGATCATTTAAAACTTTTCAACTGCATAAACAATTTATTTGATTAATGTACAATTCAATCGACTGTTTTAGGCTACTGAAGTTATAAGTTATATAGCTGAAATTACTTTGAGCCACTAAGCTCCCTCACTAAACCCATAATCTACAGTAGCTGTGCAGAATACCCCCTAACAGGTCTCATCCAGATTGTGAATTGCATATAAATCTTAAAATCTGAAACACTCACTTAAGTGTAAGAAATTACACAAATATTTTATGGCCTTGATTTATCCGCTGGGGACCATGACTGTCTGAAAAAAAATGGCTGCCCATCCAACAGCTGATGAAATATTTCAGTCTGGACCAATGTGATGGATGAACCGAGCAAAAAATGTACATTTCTGCAAGTGACTGACACATAAGATTATTCAAGGCAGTAAAGGAATAATAGATACATGACAAAATCTCCATCAAGCCCCAAAACCTAAAGGGAAACATGATTTGATTTGCTATTCAATTCAGTTTCAATTAATGATACTAAAAGAGAAGAAAATTGTCTGATGTTGTGCGATCATGGATAAGTAATCCATAATCTGAGACGCAAAACAAGAGGGACCCTCACATGAGGATTTTAAAGAATGTGCGGAGAGGAATGTGTAATGTGGATCTGAAAGTGTGAGTTCTCCTTCACAGGTGGTCATCTCTCTCATATGACATTTCTACAGGCAAATCCAACCTTTCATGTCACATGTGCTGACCAGGTGACAGCCGCCACACCAGGCATAACAGCGGAGATACAGAGGGATGTAAGAGACAAATTCTTCAATTTCATACAATATATAAAGTTTAAGAGTTAAATAAATAATATACTGTGAGTGGAGCTTGAATGAAAAACATAAAAATCACATAACAACCTATTCCATGCTTAAGTTTTAAAATAAAGTTACGTGTGATGAAAGTGAAAATAAAATATTAATTTTCAGTGTGATTTTGTGTAAATGTTTGTTGCTGTCGATGTTGCAGTTATATAATGTGGGCAAATCTTCAGCAGCGGTGTTTTGCTCAACTACCAGTCCAAAGTACGGTGGCCCAGAGGCACAAAATATATACCACCATTGGATGAAACAATTAGTTTCAGCTTTGTTGCTTTCTAAAATGTTGCTGTGTTTTCCAGTTTGTTAACACGTTTTCTGGATTGTTGTGTTTTCTAAAATATTTTCATGTTTTCTTTTACTATTTCTGTCAATTTGCTTTATATAATTTCCTTGTGTTTTCAGAAATATGATTGCATTTTCTTTTTTGTTTTTGTGTTTTTTTGTTAATGATTTTTTTGTTGTTGTTGGTGCGATTTCTAACATCTTGTCATGTCTGTCCAAATTGTTTCATGTGTTTTCTTCAGTGCTGTTGTGTTTTTGCTCCATAGGACTACAGTGGTGGTCCAGGCCAGTGTCATACACCTCTCCTCCTCCGTCCTCGCTCCCCCTTCACCTCACAGTTTGCATTATGTAGATTAGCCGCTCATTGTAATCCACTGTGTCATTGTAATCCTACTCTGAGTGACGATTTCAGTAACTCCTCCCCTCTTGGTCCTCTCCCCTCCTGTTGTCTCCTTTGCCACTCCGTCCACTTCTCTCATCCCGTCTGTTTAAGGTAAGGCTGCTCAGCTCTTCAGTTGAAATAATCCCTAGATAGATCTGGAAATATAAAATGAAATGATAAAAGTCATTAATAAAACAAAACTGGTGTGATATGCAATGCTTATTCTCATCGGATGCTGAATGCCAGATAACCATCATTTATTCTAATGAAAGAAATGTGTAGTTAAGTGTGTAATCTCAGTGCCCATGCATTGTATGTTTTGTTTATGTATATGTATGAGTGTCCATATATAATACGTGACAAGTTTTACACACTAACTGGTGGCTGACAACACACAGTTTTGCTGGAGTTGAACTGTGTCATGATTCTTGGTTACAGGGCTTTAAATCAACCAATATCAACATCACTATATGACTTTATATCATACTCAATTAATATTATGTGGCCATATCTGTTTTTGAAATGTTTCAATTTTTGAAGAAGACTGTTTTGAATGAGACTGCTTGATCAGCAATACTGTGTGTACTTTCAACGAGCCATGTCCAGGTAATGTAGGTCTGTTTTTAGATTGCAGTTAGAGTGGAAATACTCTGTTTCCTAATCCAAACAAAAATGGATTTTCTTGCTCAATTTGTACATTAACTAAAATGTCAAATTAAATCATATGTCATAATATATTGATGTTTCTGCATATTCATTAAAATGTCCATTATTCTAGTTTTTGTTTTACAAAAAGAGCAGTGACATATGTCATGTCTTGCTGCTTGTTTTAGGAAATACATTCACAACTTGAGAAACGGGTTATGAATTTTTTAACTTTTCAGCAAACAGAAAATTTCTATTTTCATCATTTCAACAGAGTCTGTCAGGATTCAGGAAATTTAGAAATACATAGGGAATACATGAGAAACAAACTTGGCTGACTCAGGTTTCTGGGAGAGTAGAGCTTAGTAGATATCTAATGTTTTGTCAGCTGTTATATGACAGGATGTCTGCTCCGCTGATGAGTAAAGAAACCACTCTCCATTTTCAACATTTGGACTTCACTGAGCCAAATATTCTACAACACTACCTGACGATGTAGAAAGAAAGACTTCACGGTTTGATGGGCTTATGTTTTGTTTGTACCAATCCTTCTTTCTTCACAGTGTTGGTGAAACCGCTGAGAGACGCTGCAACCATGGCTGCTGTAAGTTCACTCACTTTGCAACAATTCAAAGATAGTACTCGAGAGTCACTTTGTCTGGCTGCAGTTCAGTGGTTAAATATCTTGGACCTGAGTTAAAAGCATCAGCTCTTGGAGGTTTGACTGTCAGTGCATGATGCTGCTTAATGCTGTTATTGTGCCACTAGATGCTGGACTCTGGGATGGACGCTTAAGCTGTTTTTAAGAAGTGGCTTTAGAAGTCCTTTCAGTAATCATGTGAAGCAGCTTAACCAGCCGCTCACTGGTGTGCATCGTTTGGAGTCTGCTCTGGCTCAGATGGGTTGTAGGTTCTCAGGTGCATGTATGGTGGTGTATCTGTGTGACCATTTGTTATACTAAACAAAAACGTACGCTCACTGTATTAAGCTGCTATTCAAGTAATCAAGCAGTAAAGCAATTTAAAATACATTTTAAAGAATGACTCAAAAAACTGATTATCTGATGATAGATAATAACCTGCATAAGGAAGTATGATGTTTTCTTTTTAAAAACATTTTACACTCATCTTTATGCAGACTGGATCTTTCCGTATGGTGTCAGAGGAGGAGCAGGCCATGAGGTCCAAGCTGGAGCATTTGACAGTGAAGGATCATGGGCCAGTGTTTGGGCCTTGCCACAAACTGCCTGGCCACACTGTGCAAAAGGTTAAAAAAAAAAAAAATTGGTTAGTAGCATGTACAGATGAGTTTAAAATCTGAATATTAGATCAGTATGTGTCTCTTGTGTTTTTCCTCAAGGCAAAGGATGAGCTGAATGAGACGGATGAGAGGCGGGCATCATCACTGAAGGACCTGCGAGCCATGATGAAGGATCGGGCAGCGGAGGGAGACGACCTGGCCAAACTGGTGTTGGAGCGCTTCAGGGACAAACCCGACTCTCTGCTGCTGCGCTTCCTCAGAGCCCGCAAGTTCGATGTTGTCAGAGCCCACGAGCTTCTGAAGGGTGAGTAACACAGGAATCCACCTGTTAGTCCATGCAGCTTCATATCAGTGACTTCTGTCTCAGTTCTGAGATTCAGAATGGGAAAGGGGCCCCCCACACACACACACACACACTCTTTATATTACCAGAAGTGAATTTTATTATTTTGACATCCGTTTGTCTTTGATTCAGTGTCTGCGGACATTTTCCAATAGCTTCGGTAATGGAGCGTGAGACCTCTTTTGTGCTCCTCGTTTGCATGAATCCTACCCATCACTGAGACAGGGAGGCATATGTTCATTAATTGGGAGCTTTGCGATGCTTCTGAGTTTCCCCTCACAAAGCCCTCCTTTGTGTCCAAATGGGACAGCAAGTTTACTTTTTCTTGTGAACCCACAGTGTTCTGCTGGGAACGTCACAACGCCTGTGCTGATTGTGTTGGTCTGGGAGAGGAGAGAAGATGAAAAAGCAGAGCAGCTTGACACTCCTGTGAGAAGAGGCCATGAATTTGACTTGCTTACTGTTTGTGTGTGTGTGTGTGTGTGTGTGTGTGTGTGTGTGTGCACTTTATTTTTCAATCTTCTTGATGACCAAAAATATAGAGTAAAATGCAATAACCCTATCTATTATCCCAGCTGTGATCTGCACTCAGCCATATTTATACAAAATAAGTCAGTAATCCCAAACTGTGATCTAATACTATAAAACCTGATGCCTGACGTGTGCACAGCAAGAAATACCTGGACAAATTACATCGCATTTTTTTCCCACATCTTGCTATTGTTATTTGAATATTTGGTCCTTGCACTGACAGAGTCACAATAAAACACACACATTTATGAGTAAAGCAGGAGAACTTATTAGTGTGAGAGGGGAATGTGATGGGAATGTGAACTTGTTCTGTAGGGTTAATTGCTACTTACTCAATACATGCACACAAGCGCACACACACACACACACACACACACACACATACACACAACATGCACATGCAGATGGACTTTCTCACATGCACACACATTTACTGTGGGGTAATTGGTTCCTCGGTATGAAGAGGCTCAGTGCAGCACTGAATATGCACTAAGACAGTGGTGTCATTGTGTTTGACATAACAACCTGCACTGAGCAGTTATGCACTGTGTGAACCAATAAGGGAGTGCAGCTGATCTTTCAGTGGTGATGTACAGGTGTGTGTGAGCAAATAGTGCCGGCATGTGGGCCAAATCCAGCCCTCCAACAAAATTACTTGGCTCTATAATGAAAGCTGAAGTTTTACCATTCGTAGCGTGCATCAACACTTTTGCATGATTAAGCTGCTGTAACTTTCTTCGCACTCACTGACCTAATGGGAAAAATAACATATCTGTCCATGGACACATCCCTAAAATAACAAGTTTTATAAATCTGTTTTATTCTAAAAAGAAATAAAATTGTCCAAAATAAAAAATGCATAAAAATAAAAGTTGCATCTCTGCCATGCCTGTAGAGCTGCGTTGGCCCCCTGTTGAACAATGCTGAAAAAAATCTAGCCCTAACCGCAGACCCTTGTTCTAGGTTATGTGCGCTTCAGGAAAGAGTATCCCGAGCTGTTTGAGAACCTGACCCCTGAGGCGGTCCGCAGCACCATTGAGGCGGGCTACCCTGTGGTTCTGCCCAGCAGAGACAAGTACGGCCGCGTGGTCCTGCTCTTCAACATCGAGAACTGGGACCTGGAGGAGATCACATTCGATGAGGTAGCTGCAAATCAAACTTCTTTGATACACAGGTATATGCAAAAGTTTGGGTCAAATTACGTATTTTGTTGATTTGTGAAGGGAAAAGAAGTGAATACAGAAATATTAAAAATAGCCTTTCTTCATTCAACTTCAGATCAATTTTGGGCCCCATACTATGTTAGTACTTATCAACTCCCTCCCCTTTGACTAATGTTAAGCATGGGGGTGGAAATATTCTGCGTTTGTGGTTGTTTGACAGCCAGTGGAACAGGAAACACTGCACAGATAGAGATGGATTCCATTAAATATCAGCAAATTCTAGATTGAAAATGTCCTGCAGTCAGTGAAAGAGAGTGAAACTGAAAAGAGGCTGACTTCTACAACACAATGATCCAAAGTAGACCTCAAAATCCACCATGAACGTCTTCCAGAAACACAAGCTGAAGCCTTCACAGTCCCCCGACTTGAACATCAATGAAAATCAGTGGGTAGATCTGAAACATGCTGTGTTCATGGCAGCTTAAAATATCTCAGAACTTGACGCGATCTGCAGGAAGAATCAAGAATAGAGAGACTCTTTGCTACAAGCTGTGATATCTGCCAAAGAGGGAGTAACTGCATTTTCATTTTGAATGTGTGTTTGCTGCAGGAGTTTTATCTACTTCTTTTCATTTCAAAAATCAACAAAATATGTTATTTCCCCAAATGTAAATGTACAGTTGAAATTAATTTTGAACAAATTTTTCCAAAGTATTTGTTTGTTTGTGTGTGTGTGTGTGTGTGTGTGTGTGTGTGTGTATGTCACAGCTCTTGAGAGCATACTGTGTGATCCTGGAGAAGTTGCTTGAAAATGAAGAGACCCAGATCAACGGCTTTGTCCTGATCGAGAACTTCAAGGGCTTCACCATGCAGCATGCCTCAGGAATTAAACCGGCTGAGCTCAAGAAGATGGTGGACATGCTGCAGGTCAGATCAGACTGGAGAGGGAAGCCGAGGATTTCTTGATGTGGAATCTCAGAACTGTGAATATTCAAATCTTTCTCTGTCTCTTGTGGATGTGTGCGTGTGTGTGTGTGTGTGTGTGTGTGTGTGTGCGTGTGTGTACTCCTGCAGGACTCCTTCCCCGCCCGTTTCAAGGCAGTCCACGTTACTCACCAGCCCTGGTACTTCACCACCACGTACAACGTGGTCAAACCTTTCATGAAGAGCAAACTGCTGGAGAGGGTGCGGACAGCTGCGATCAACGCTTCAAGTTTGTTTCTGGGTTTTTTTTTCTGACAGTTTTCTCTCATCTGAACAAGTTGCATCTCTCCTCAGGTCTTTGTTCACGGTGACGAGCTGGATAACTACTTGAAAGAATTCGATGCAGACATCCTGCCAGCAGATTTTGATGGGAAAGCCTCTGTTGCTGACTGCCAGGCCATCGCCACCAAGATTTTTGGCTCTGAAGACACTGCTCTCTGAAACAGTCCTCCCTTTTCAAACCCAGGAGTCATAGTGTCCTTCACCCTAGATGCTTCTTTTGTGATCAGATCAGACATGTGGTCTACTTTGAAGCTAGGTTGATATTGTTATTTTTATTATTAATATTCAGGCAGTTCCTATGAGCAAAAAGAAGTATCTAGAGTTAGGAGCAGGGGGATGGTTTGCAAATGAGTAATATATGGTGATAGAAACGGGAACGAAAAAGGATGTTTAGATATTACAGAGAGAGTAACTGATGGTTAACATTTGTGATTTTATAGTTCTGACAACTTATGCTCCTCTTCTGATTGTTACAGTCCAAGCACAGGGAGGATGAGAGAGTTTATAATGTGATGAGGTCAGACTGAGTTTGGTTTGGTGTTCTTCGCCTTAAAAATGAATTTCACAACATATAGAAGTGTCTTGTGCCTACAATCGTGTCAGATGAAGGAGAACAGTTGTGTATTTCAATTATTAAGGGTGAATTCTACAAAGGTACGAGGAGGGGAAACTGATGATGGATATGCCTGCATTTGATTGTTGTTTTAGGAGCCGGAGCCTCCTGATGCAGTGCCATGGAAACACTTCTTTGTCTCAACAGCCTTGTTTGTGTTGCTGCACACAGATGCCTGATGTACCACAAAGATCCATTCTGCAACACGCATTGGATTGGGAAATGTTCAATAAAATAGTTTTTTTGTGTGTCTATAGTTTTATATGAATCGCCATTTTTATAATGTGTTCTTACTGTTATTTCTGCTAACATGATGCGTCTTTCAGAAACCAAGTTTAAACCAGGCTTTCCTCATAAACCTATCAGACCTGTTTTCAGCTAATTCTGGACCATAAAGGAGGTTTAAATTAGTCTGACCTACAGGAGGTTACCATAGACATCTGTCACACTGACCACTCCTTGCCGTCCTGGTCAGGCTAGATTTCAGGCTGAACCACAGACAGTCAGTGTTTTCCTCCCTGAAGGTTCTTTACATCTGCTCCACAAACATCAGTCAGTTTGCAGTTTATTTTGACATTAGCTGCACGTACTACATACTGAAAATCTGAGCTCATATTTCTTTTTGTGTATTCCAGTTTTTTTTAAATGTCACATTCATAAAATTGATTAAACAGTTTATTCAAAATACAAGAAGGAAACAGCTGATCTGAAGGTATTTGAACTGTTTTTGACCATCTGATGGCTCTTATGTCAGAAGTCCATGTCATGCTAACCCACATCTTTAAATCCTACAGCCAAGTATTTAGCCATGTTAGCAATAAACCTTGAAATCAACCAGATAACGGACTCTATTACGACATTTATGTTAAAGAGATTTTAAAGAAACATCCGACCGTAAAAAGGAAACTGGCTTTCTCTTGAGAAAATAATTTATTTTGGAACACAATAACCATATTTCCTCGCATAATTAGATCACACACACCACTGCTTTTCTCCAACAAAAACACCCAGTGTTTACTATCAGAGTACAATATGTTGTGTGACTATGTGTGCTCCTTCTTGTCACCACATCCCTTAACTGTCTTTCAGCATCAAAATTTCTGTAAACAAAAAATTAAAGCTGAATAATGGTTACTGTAGGTTAACATACTGTGGGCTCTCATCTTAAATTGCTTAGGCTTTTAAGATTTCAACTGAAGAATCTTTTTAGAAGAACACAACACTCACCCCCAATCCAAGGTGTATTTTTGGATTCACTGACATTTTAAGTCACTTGAGATTTATATTCAACTTCCTCAGTTTACAGCAATTAAACATGAGCCCACAAGCTTGAAAAAAAAGATGCTTGAAGCACTGGGGTTAGGATAAATACAGTGGAGAACATTTTTATATCAGCACAATAAAACACATGTCCGATCCCAAAATTATCTTAATGTATGTGACATGTTTTGGGCTAATAGACTTTGACGACGTTTCCTGTCACATTAGCATGAGAAGAGAATCCCTCCTGATTGGTTATTGCCTTTATTTTTCCTCCCTGGTCCCTCAAATATGTGAATAAACACTATCTTTATATATTTATTTTTGCTTTTTCATTGTTAAAGTGAAGAAGTTTTGGTTTTTAGTCAATCAGAGGTGCTGATATGACACAGTATACACTTACTGCAAGTTTACTCAACAGCACTCACGCTCTGATGCATTTGCACAATAACACAAGAGGTCACAATAACAATACAAAATACAAAAAGAACATATCCAAAATAATCAACTAGAAAAAAAAAAAAAAAAAAAAAAAAATCCAAAAAAAACAACAAAAAAAAAAAAAAAAAAAAAAAAATCCAAAAAAAACAACAAAAAAAAAAAAAAAAAAAAAAAAATCCAAAAAAAACAACAAAAAAAAAAAAAAAAAAAAAAAAATCCAAAAAAAACAACAAAAAAAAAAAAAAAAAAAAACATACATCCAAATAATACATCTGCATTTTTGTGCAAAATCGGGGCAACGCAAAAGTCTTAAAAAGAACACAAATGGCTCTCACTGCAGAAACTGGGTTTGTGCTGGTGTCAGAATAAATCTCAACAATTTCTTTTGTTGTTGTTGTTGAAATGAGAGCTGAGGACAGAGAGATCCATGAACTGTATAATGTCACTGTGGGTGACTGAGAGGATGTTTGCCATCAATGACTGGCAGTTGCAGTTAGTTCTCTCTGACAACAGATGGCAACAGTGATCTGTTGTTTGAACAATGCAGGATGACAGTCGTTCCAATTCGAGATGCACCAACCAAAACACAAATCGGCCTCGATCTCACTGATCCATATTAAATACAGTTTCAAAGTCAATCTCATTATAGATTTCAGTGTGTCCACTTTCAATTTCATTAATTCAGTCATGACAGGCTGCTGACTTTCAACCACAGCGATCTCTGGTCTCATTTTACCTTACAGTGCCACACAGTGTGGTGTACAGATTCTAAGTGTGGGTATCAGATCAGTATTTTGTTTGGACGATACTCTGCCTTGAGAGGGATAAAGTTGGGTTGGTGAATCCCTATTCTTAATTTTAGTCAAGTCAGCACTGGTGAGATTAATGCCTGGATTTCATAGTGTTCCCGCAGAATAATCTCCAACAAAGGAGGTTAAGTTTAAGCCATCTCAAAAACCAACAGATCTCCTTAAACTGTGTTGTGATCTGATTTCAGTAGTGATCATATTCACTATTATAGTATTATTCTTTTGATTAAAAAAAATCTAAACCCAAACTACTATTTCCAAGAGTTAATTTATGACTTTATTCCAGTTCCCCATGTTTTGTTTGCAGAGTCAGAGTCAACATCTGAATGTAAACAAAAACTGAAAAGCTGTTTAGGGAATAGAGGTTTTTGGTTCTTTTTGATATTCTGCACGTCACTGATTGACAATGTGTGCTATTACACGAACTGCCCTGACATGCAAAACTTCCTGCAACTGGAATAAACGCAACAACTTGCCAGGTCTTATAAAAACACTAACCTTGGCCTAAATAGCCTTATAAGATGCACTGTTGTGTATCTGTTTGTCATCTCAAATCACCCATCTGTCTCATCACAGTGTTTGTTTGCAGGTTTTAGATAACAGACTTACTTGGCCTTGGAAGCAAATTCCTGGGCCATTATATCAAGGTTTGCAAAAGCTTCTCAGTCAGATTGAGGTTTTGGAAAGTCCACAGGTCCCAGTGCTGCAGTAAGATTTTATCAAAACAGGTTTGTGATCAATTTGAACTATCAGTCTGCGCTGCTGCTGCTGCTGCCGCTGCCGCGTTGCAGCAGCTTTAACACTCGGCCCAGTCAAGAAAACAGGAAATGCTTTTCAATGCAGTCTTTGAAACAAAAATATTCCCTTGCATTAAAATCAGTCTCTTCTTTCGTGCATGCAGTGTTCTCCATCTAATTATACAATACAACAATCACCAGTATTTTACAAACAATCCACTAAAATAAACATTTGGTTTAGCCTTGGTATCCTCAGCCCTCCTACTCATCACACCTCCCAGCTCAGATTATAAAAAACAAAAAATCTGCTGAATTTTCCCTTTAACAGCACCACTGGCCAATCAGTAGACTGCATTTTCCACATTTCAAAACCACAGGATCATCTGTTGGAAAATGCAAAAGTGTGTTTGCATTAAATGTACAGGGTTGAGTATTAGCCTTTATACAGTGGCAATAGGTTTGTGTCCGTGCTGCACCTGCAGCTGATCACAGGCAGACGAAAGAGTAAGAGGGCTCAAAGACACCGACAAGAGACAACACGGGGAACATCTGAGTCATCTAACTTCACGTTATCATCCTCGCTCCCTTCAGTTCTTCCTCTCTGTCACAAGGAGAGTTAAACTAAATAAATAATCTCCATGACTACGCCTCAATTAATGAGTTAGAAAAGGAAAGAATAGATTGTGGCAAACAGGGTTTAAAGTGCATTGAATCAAAGTGATAGAATGCGACCAAGGGAATGTGTGTGAATCCCATCTGGGGTTGATCCCTGGTCATGTCTGGTAAGCACTGAACACTTTCATTTCAAGTGTTAAACATAAGTGCCTGGAGGATGTTATGAGCTGGAAATAATGTGTAAAATCCCACCATAATCTTTTTTCTACTGAACACTTTCCACAAACAACAGAGCAATGGTTCACCCGAAGGAACAGACATTATAAGGGCCAATGGACCAAGAACAGAGAATTTGGATTACACCAACCAAACACAAAGGTCACATGCTCCGTCACGGGTCTTTAACTCTCAGTCTACACAGGCACACACAGACATACAAACTACATCTGTGAGTTACATACATACATACTACAAAGATGCTGCGTTGGTTAAGACAGCAGACTAGGCTATATGGCCTTGGCGGTGATAAGCAGTGAGCTTCTTACAGGTGCAAGAAATGGGCACCTTCTGCAGCACAGTCCTTGTTTACTGTAATAAGAGGCTTCTTGTGTGCTCTTGTTTTTCACTGGACTACTCTAAAGTGGTGCTCTCACTTTCCTTTCCGTGCCAGCTCAATGTCATCTCCCGTCATATTTGGTCAACGCCTCCATTAGCCAAGGATCATTGTTGTGTACATGAAACAAAATGGTCCTGGTCTGAAGTCAAAGTTCTCGCAAGGGAAACGAGCACAAAGGCAGTTAGTTGTTTTTGTTCCTTCACATACTGTAAGGTGATGGTGGTTACAAAGGGGAACTGTGGTGAAGGCGTGGAGGAGTGTGGGTCGGTGGAGGTGAGTAGCACCAGAGGAGAAGGCAGAGGAGAGAGCAGTTTAAGGTTTAGTTCAGGTATCTCCTCAGTGCTGGGACATTGGTGTTGGAGACGGTGAGAGGGAAGAGGACGAGTAAGAGAGGTACAGAAGTCAGAGGTTTAAGCTTTTTCCTCTGCGCAGGAGCTCTCCCTCAGGTGGCCACTTTGGCACGGTGGTTTCTGTTTCTCCCACTGGCACATGGAATTGGCGTATCCCACAATCACTTTGTCCATCCAGGTGAGGGGTTGAGGGAAAAGCACTGCTCCCTCAAAGAAGCCCAGGTGGCCTCCGTGTAGCGTCAGGGCAAAGACCACATTCTGCTTCTTTGCTAAAGAGTGACACATCACACAGTAATTAGGCTTCTGTAAAATGTTTACTCATCAGTGTCTGAGAACCAACACTGGACACACGCCCAAATATCGACTTGCCAGGGATTATTATTCTATGACTGATATAGATAGTGCGGGTGGGTTTGCATGGTCGAACAGATAACAGCAGGACTCAACTATGATGACATGGCAACTATCACTGTTCAACGTCTGAGCCAGTCATTAAGTTCCATTGTAAACCGAGACTCAAGTGAATGAAAGAAATCCACTGCTGCCCTCTTAAATTAAAAATCAGGATCTGAATGGCTAAGTTAAGAAAGGTTAACAGTTTAGTTGTTCCAATGTGTAACTTGGAGGTGATTTTGAATATTATAGGATATAAACATGACTTCCTTGACTGACAGGTTTCTCAGGTTGACCAAAAGTATGTTGAAGTGTCTGCCCATGCCTTTGTGTACAAAAAAGGTCCATAAAGAAATGCTTTTTTTCAGGTTTTCTGTGGAAGAACTTTGCCTTACCCTAGGATGACCTAAGATGATGACTTATCAGTATTGAACCTCATTAATGCTCCTGCGGCTGAGTGGGAGCAGACCACTGCAGCCGTATGTTGTGGAAAGCCTTTTAGGAGAGTGGAGGCTATTACAGCAGCCACTTTATTGCTCATCGTTTTGGAATGTAAGATGTTCAATAATCATACATGTGCAATGCTCTAGTGTCCACATATTTTTTGACCATGTAGTGAAATCATTAACGGTGGACGAGAAATGATTCAGTACTACACCATCACACTAAGCTCTCCTTAAGAGACCTATGGATGATGGCTGTCGCTGTGTTTTGCAAGTGAATCCATTCCTACTGTTTTTATTTCATTCACAAAAAATAAACCCTGAAACTCAAAGTACAGCATTTCTACATTGCAGACAGAGCATTAATCTCTTTCTGATTTCTGTATGAACCTCATGCTGCAGCTGCGGGCAATCCAGGCAGGGTGGTCTCCTGAAAGGGATTGGCCTGGATCTCTTTATTCTCTAGCTCTCATCTGGGTTAGTGGGGGAGCCTGACTAGTGATTAAGATCCCACAGGGCTTTCACCACAGTGCACTGTTCATGACAGCTGCTGATCTGCCCTGGGATAAGTGAGTGCTCATCCAGACCCACAGCCACCATCTCACCAGGCATTGAGTGACAGGTGGGAATAGAACACTCTGGAGAACAGCTCGTACTTACAACGGGGCGCACAAGGTTTGAGGACAAACAAATGGGCATATCACTTACTATCTAACTATGACTAATAAATTATTAGTTTTTACTTTGTTCCACTGTTTAAAACCCGTTATGTCTTTTCCTGGTGCGGCAGTCGTATTCAAACTTTATCTAACCTAGTATCACAACAACATTCAGCACATGAACACTCTCAGAGCGAGTATACCTTCATGTACCAAATGTAACACTTAACTGACACGTAACTGACTTGATATTAAGCTGTAAACTTCTTATCAAACATTTTTTATCTAAGCTAATTATAGCTCCAACACAGCAAGTTTATTTCTGTTGAGTCCTTTCCCAGTAGTCATGTGTCACAGTCACTGTGTCACATTTAAAGCAAAGGGGCAGCTGATCCTCTTTTCAGTAAGTGTTGCTGTCTCGAGACACATGTAAGGTACAATCACTTGTACTTCCAGTCAGGACTCATCCACCCACACACACAAACCCTTTAATGAGGGATTTTCCTTTTCCAAAATAGTTAACGTGGTCAGTAAGTTTAAATATAGCATAGTCTGGGGAGCTTGATAGGCACCATGTAATGTGCAGGCAGTCAAACAGCAAACTGCTTCTTTATATTTGTGAAAATGAGGTTTGAACTTTCAGCAGTTTTTCCAGGATAAAATCTTTAACATTGGGAGCCTGTGAAGGAGTTAAACTCACTTTAAACAGATAGAGGGACCCTCAGCTGTATGTGTGAGTGATTGTTACAGCTGCTATAAAAAAAAAAGGAAGACATTAATCATACACTTGACCTCTGTGCCACACCCTGCCCCACTCAGGGTGCGGAGCCAACACATCAGAAGGCCCTTAGAGACTGCAGACATATTTTTTGAGAACCAAATCTGAGACATCAGCTGCCACCATTAGTCTGACAGGACAAGCCTGTTGCATTTAAAAAAAACATGACTCAACAGAGAATCAACTGCAAATATACCACGATCTGTCTGCAGGTACAGAGTGCGCTGTATGGAATAAAGACCTTATTTTTGGTTTATATGGTTTTAGAAATCTGGGAATTAGTCTGCAGTATTAAAAATTCTGTATAATTGAGCATTATTAATTTTTCAGATTGTCAGTGATATTCAAAATCAGATTATAAAAATACTATATTATATAATATATATTTTATATCTAATATATTTTTTCTTCACTTTTTATTAGTGGAACCTCATTCTGAGCTGACATTGCCGAGAGAAGACCCAGTTTACTACATTTCTTTGAAAATGTAGTTAAAACAAACCAATACATCTGGTTACTGTTAATCTTAGCTGGTTTTAAACTAAGATGCATACTTGGATCTAGGTGAGTCAGTATCACTGAAATGTGGGCAGATTATGAAATATACAAATGGTCAGTAACAGATAATAACTTTATGTTTGCTAAGATGAAGATGGTTAAAACAGCTTGTAAGCATTTTTTAACACTAGGGTTTAGTATTGCTGCTGTTGTCATGACACATGCTGTTAGTTACCTGCTAGTGTGCGAGGGATAGTGAGCAGTGAGTCGTGAACCAGAGGATCATCTGCAGAGTTCACTAGCAGCAGTGGCACATTTACCTGAAAGGAAGAAAATAATAAAAATCCACACATCAAATACACAAACAGATCAAAAAGAGAAACAAAATATGAGATGATGTGAGGTGTATGAAAATGCAGTTCTTACATTGTGAATATAATGAACACAACTCTCCTTCTCATAGTACTCTTTGAGAGAGCTGTGGCCGTGGAATTTTCTGTTGAAACCCAAAGAAAAAGTCGTCATTATTATCTCTAGAAGATAATAGAAACCTGTTTGATATTTCAGATTCTCAACATTGACAAAAGGATTAACACTATGTAGATAACAAGTAAAATACAGATAAGGATATCTAAAAACTCAGATCCGTTATCTACTTCATCAAAACGATGAAAGCTATGAAGGCAATCTCAAATTGTTACACATACCTCATGATGTTGTCATCAATCTGCATTAGGGAAGTCGCTGTGTATAGCCGACTAAGATCTGCATCTATCATTTTAACTGAGCTTCCTCCAAACAGACTGTGCCTGTAACATGTAAAAACACACACACAATGGAAGTAAATTACTTAACTACTAATGCAATGCAGCTTTAATATGCAGTAAGGGACTGTGTGCAAATTATTGGGGTGGGGGAGTGGGACTGAACCATATGTTTAACTTTTAAAAACAAAGTGTTGCCATGGTGTTGTCAATATTTTATTTGGACCCTCCCCTTGACTTAGGAAAAAAAACTGCAAAAGCTTCCAACCAATACCTCCAAATAATATAACAATACTGCTACAAATCCATTCACCGTTAATAACTAAAAGAGACAAAGTAAAAAGAATTCAAGATGGTGCAACTCGTGTAAACTTATTTTCACCCTTACTTTTAAGTGAAACTCACAGGCACAATAAACCTAAACCATATTCTCTTTGCAGTCCAATACAATCTCAATCTGTCTGTGATGAAGATGCATTGAAAACCTCTTTGCTGTATCAACAGGAGGGGTCATAGTTTTCATGTGGACGTTTAGGGAACGTTCAGAGAATTGACAAACCATGTCGTCTGTTATATTGTCTGTTACGAAGTTATGAGTACTGTTTTTGGCAAACACCAGAAAACAGCTATGTAAAAATAAGAAACATGGATAGAACTTTAAAGTAATGAAAAAGTATTTGTGCTTCATATGCAGGACAAACAGTGATACCTGTGTGAGAGGATGATTTTCTTCATGTTGTCAGCCATGAGAAAGTTATAGAAGCGTCTGAACTGATCCCACTGTAGGAATGTTTCCTGAGCCCTGAGAGATACAGACAAACATACAGGAAGTTAGCTTTGTGCAGCCTGTCTGCATTCCAAACAACACACTCAATGTCCTGTGTAATCCACTGGACAAAGAGTCACGCTGGTGGAGAGCAGCAACGGTGTCGGGCATTAATATGCCACTCACAGACAGACACAGGCTGAAGCAACACAACAGCTAATGATATTCAACAAATAACTGACCATCAGAAAATGTTTTCAATTTTCCTTGACATTTCCATTCCATTTGTGTGGTATGACTTATTAGTCTCACACTATTTGTGGAAAAGAGCAACAGCCCCAGTTCTCAAGGAATGCTGACGTAAGGGCCAGCGTAAGTTTGGATGATGATTTGAAAGAAGAATTCATTAAGAGGAAAAAAACTGCAATTCCAACATCATAAAAGGCCAGTCTCTTCAACACACCCTTCCCTAAGTGTCTACACCCAAACTTCAACAGACCTAACCTGTCATGCCTGCCAAGAGACACTAACATTTAAAACACAGAAGGTGTGGCTCAGTCCAAATCAACACAGCGTACAGAGTCCACTCTAAAACACCCACATGGACTAGTGATTTAAATACAACACAGTCATTGGGTTGTCCTCCACAAAATGTGACTATGTATGCAAAATGTTTACTGTGAACATTTTTAGACAGCCAGTTCAGTTCATCACATTATGATGACAAAAAAGATTTTCATGAAAATACATCAAATAGAATGTACAGTGGACCGGGTTTAATACAAATGACTAGAACAACCAGTTCAGAGCATTTACCAGTGCTCCAAGGCAGATGGCTTTAGGGAAAGTTTTAACAACCTGTCTGTCTTTTTGCTTGTGTTTGACCAAAGTTCTTTAAAATGACAAAAGACAAGTGCTAAACTATCAATTAAGATAACACTAGTAAAACAGCATAGCAGAATGATTTTACAGCTCTTAAGAGATGTTTGGTAAACTCAGGACTTAACGTGATTATATTTGTAAGCATTTATCATTATATGACATAATGCTGAGTTTCATTTATATTTAGAAATGTGTGTACATCAAGAGCCAGAGTTATTTATAAAGGGACTTTGATGATACAATGCATTTTAATTAAAAGATGAGAGGACAGCAACCCACCTGAGAGCACTGTACCCCTGACAGACACTGACACAACACAGCACTCGCTCCTGGTTCGTCCTGTTCTCGCCCAGGAACTTGCATACAATGTTTCCACCCAGACTGAAGCCAACTACAATAAGCTGGGTCTGAGGATATGTCCGCTTAATGTAACCAACCATGGCTGCAAACTCCCATGTGCACCCTGCAAGAGAAACAGTGTAGAGTTACCAATCAATACTGGGTAACATCTCTGTTAGACGGAGCATTCTTCTCTGCTAAGCAGTTCCAGCTGAAGGTGCCTTTAGCTCAGAGTATTAAATGTATGTCTCTATCAGACCCTTTTAAATAAGATCAAGTCTATTATGTCTAATTCTGGGAGCTTTAGGGTCACACACAAGCTCATATAGCTTTTTCATTTTTACCTGGAAATAATGCTATACTCTAAATACTCTAAGTCTAAATGAAGGCAAATTAAATTATTAAATCATTAAAACACCTCTGACTAAACCAGATTATGTTAAAATGAAGTTATGGTGCTACCAAAGAACATCATTTTTTTTAAAAATGCTTTAATTTAACTAATATGAGAGTGGCTACTGCCCAGTTTCTTAAGCCTCAACCACACTAGACAATCATATGAGAGCAATAGGCCGAGCCAAAAGTGATGATGATGGCATTAGTGATCAGTCTAAATCAAGTCCTTTTTTCTTTTTAAAAACTGGGTTATCATTCTTAGACACTCCTGCAATTAAAACAGTGACTGAAGTCAGCTCCTTGGTCTCACCATAAGTGAACATTCGTGGAGAGGTAAGCTCGATGTTGGGAAGAGCTCCAAGATGGTTCAGCACAGCACAGCGGTAACCATCCTTCTGGGCGTAATCCACAAAGGTTCGGATATAATGCTTCTCACTATGGTTACCAATACCAGGGCATATCACCATGGTGATGTCACCTGGTGAAAGAGGCAGACGGACAGGATAGATATTTGCCAATGAGAAATATGTAAGCACAGATAAGAAGGAGTGTATGTCACCCTCCTAAATAGCACATCAAAGACAAAGCACTGCAGCTGTAGAATCGGGCTGTGAGTCTGTCAAATATAGCCTCAGCAAAATAGAATGGAAATAGTAAGGTGGTGGGGTCAAGGTTCAGCTGAGACATCCAAGAAAGGAATCCATCTTTAAATCTGTCCACACTCAAATGCATTACGGACATGGTACACCTCATTTAAGATCAATAAGTCTAGAAAGAGAACTAGCAGTCACAGTATTACAATATAAAGAAACAGATTTAGAATATACAACTAAGAACTACAAAATACTGTATATGAGGTTTCTGTGTTTGGTATTATCCAAATAACAGCAACTAACAGTATAAAAATGTTGGTAAAGAGATCTTGATCAAATGCATTACCTCCTGTTCGATGGTCCCCCAGTGGCTCAAAGAGGTCAAAGGTCGCAGTGGCCCCATCCTGCATGGGTAAATACTTTCTGATTCCACTGGGGTGAGGGGAGCTCACCCGACCAAGTTTACCATACAGTGCCGTTTGGAGGTGACCGCTCTTACCCCACAGTAAGGGAGGAATGTATCTGGAAAACAAAAAATTGGACTTTATTAAATTTGATGTAGAAATATGAGCTCATTCTACTAAGGCATTCAATAAGAGCAAAAGGTTAATAGGCACAAATGACATCAGCAGAATATTATCCTGAGCACATAAATTTGCATTTGTGGTTTATCACACAGACAAGAATGTTTTGGCACATAGTTTGCATACGAAGTCACACTTCTGTTGCAGCTTTTGAAAGATTGCTCCATGCTCTGAACAGATATCAATGTTTAACGTCGGACTGTTGCTATCTTTTGCTAAGCTATGCTGTGCATGTGTACTTGAATTCCAGTGACACCTCTGTAGGAGTTAGCTGTAGGAGTTAAAGTCTTTGGATTACGTAATATTCCTTTGAAATATTATGCCTTATGTTGTGCATTATCCTGAATCACCATCTTATTTTCACACCAAGACTAAACGCTTGAGAATAACTTGACTGGAAAACCTTTTTTAGATAGTGTCTTTTCAGTTGTCTATCTGATCAAATAAAGGAAAGCCACGTCAATGCAATATTGTAATAATGGCTGGTAATAAGAGCTATAGGGACACCAGCCAAAACAACTATTCATTGACTTTTTATAGTATATTGTAGACATAAAAAGGTGACAAGTCAATGTTCAGTTTATCTTACACTGCCCGTGTAGTCAAACTATTCACAGTGGAATTTATTAACATTTTAGTTATAGGTTCAGTTAAAGACAAACCAGACTCCATCTGCAAACACAAGCTCCTACAGGGCAAATCTGACTTGTTCCCAGTGTTTGGAAATTATACATTAGCAAACATTTGAGGGTCTCTGTCTCTTTTTCCTTCAGTTACATAACATCCTATCTGGATTTTTTTCTTGCCTGACTTGCTACCAATAAAGTGCAATGTGGGCCTTGCTGGGAGATGGGAGATGGGATACACAAGATCAGCATAACTTTAGGCTAACACTGGTTGTGTATACAGTACGGAGACCAAAACACAGAGACAGTAAGTAGCTGCAGAGACCAAAGGCTTAAGTTACATCAACAGTTACACAAGCCCTTCAACAGTGTGTTTCCTCATCTCTTACTGTGGCTCCAACAATTACTGCACCTAGAAAATACAGTCTTACATAAGAGAATTGTCAATCACAAAGGAGACTGCTTCCATTTGGTGATAATGTAATCACTTCCAGCATGCACTGTAAGGGTATCTGAAGCTCAACCACACTTTTCTAGAAGGTACTCTCCAGGCTTATGACTCGATGACTACAGGAAGAGGATGACCTCATTGTTGTAATGTGGATAGGAGGATAAGCACATTGTCAGGTAATCTGAGTTCATCAATGGGAGGCAACAGACAACTTTCTTTCTCTGTTGGTATTTTTTTCCTCTCGTCAAAATCCCTATTAATAGGCTCAGTTCATATTTTGTAACTGAGGAGTTTCACTTCTTGGTGGAAGATAAGCATTTTGTGTTCCTCAACTGACAATAATTGAAAGCATGGGCCTTTTTATGGCAATTTACAATTCTTATTGATGTGAACATAACTTTTTTTACGATTACAAATTCAACTTGTTGTTGAGTCTTAGTTTCTGTATCAAAAAACCTGGTGAGCAGGTTCTGATCTCTCTTCTTTTTTTTTTTTTTTTAATTTTGGTGATTTTTGGGGCGAACGTTGTTTGAATTTGAAACACAGTTTGCCTTTTAGAGAAGGAAATGTCTCCTTCTCATACAGTGTGTGCATGAGTGCTTCAAAGCTATTAGGCAACAGAAACAGGAAACAGATACATTGGTTTGGTTTGATGCAGCTGAGATCTTAAGTCCAGATCAAAGTCCAGAAACGGATACATCAGTTCGGTTTGATGCAGCTAAGATCTAAAGTCCAGATCAAAGTCCGAAGAAGTCACAGGGTTTTGATACCAACAAGCTGAGAAAACACCAAATACTACAGTTGCTAACAATAAATAAAGACTAAATGGCTTGTCCTGACAATTTGCTAAAAAAGGGCAACTTTACAGTTACTGCATGATGTTGACTCAAATCCACTTAGGGACGTTTATTGCACTCATTTGTCTTTTCTTTCTCTTTTCACTTTTAATGGTATTTTCTCTTGTTATTGCCCGACTGTATTTAACTATATTTAGTCAGGTATTGGTCGGTTTACTGTTGGCTGCCGCCTTGATATATGTACTTGTAACATCACTGCTGCTTTAATATCAAGAGCCAAAATTACAACAAGTTGTCCTCTACATTAGCCAAAACTCCTGCGTGCATGTTCCCAAACAAGAACATTGTTGACTCGGTTAACCTCACAACACCCCTCCTATGCTTTCTGCTGTGTAATTGATCTCTGTTATGCAACACCGCAGGCTGTCATTATGCGTTACAAATGTGACTTTTCAATAACATAGATGATGCTGACCAGCTCCAGTTATCTCAGTTAAACTTCACACTGAGACATTTCTATGAATCAAAATATAGCCATTGAGGAGGGTATGGTAACAAACCAGACACAAATGTAAACATCCATGTGGCCTTATCATTCACTGACACTGCAGCTGAAAGGCAAAGGGCTCAGTAACAATTGGTTACATAAGCAGACACTCGTGATGAAGACTTGAGAGTGTCGCCCCACAGAGCTGAAAGTTCATCTGGACTATTACATCAACAACAGACCACAGGACATGGACAGTGATGCTCAGTCAGGAAAAACAATTAAGTTTACACTCTTATGAGGGAGGGAGAGGTGTTCCTCTAAATTACAGGAAGTTAGAGCTCTGTTCCTAACCAGGATTATGTTACTGTTCCAAAAACCAATAGTTTCCATCAGTTATTATGAACTCAAATGGAATATTCAGATTATAATAGACATCAGAGTTATCCTGAGGGGAAGACTAGCAGCATCATGAATGCAAATCTCCTGGCCCTGTGGTGAATGAGTCTATATTTGTATTGCAAGTCTGACAAACCCAATCTACCTTTGGGATAACCCCAAAAATACAGCCTGTATTTAATTCATGCTAGAACTGAGGGTAAAGCCAGACATCTCTGGTACAGACATGTAGCACAGTCTGATGACAGATGGGACTACTGCCAGACAAACTGCTACCTTCACTGCAGCCCCAGATGGCTTAGCAGCAGTACCATGTCCATGGCAACGCCTTGAGTGACAGAAACAGAGCTGAGATTGCAACTCACTCTTTGGTCAGCTGAGGACAAGACTTGAGAAGGAAGCGGTTGAGAGGCGTGTCCTGGTAGGTGAGGTCCGGTGGCGCAGTGGGGCTCTTGAGGTTCAAGCAGCGGACAATGATGTAGAGCACTGTGGCCACTGCTGCCAGCTTCATGCCATCAAACATTGCTGGCAGCTCTGGAGAGATGGTGTGCACGTCTGAGTCGTGGGTGTTCATGATTATTCTGAAAAACAAAACAAGGGACAACACTTCTTTCAGTGTTTTCCTTTGTGACACACAAATTTCAGAAACATAGACTGTATTTTTACTCATTTACACAGCTAATGATTTAAGAACTAAATTGCACTCCATTTCAGTATTTAAATGTGACTGAAATAAATAACAAAATTATTTTCTTGAGGTCTTGGTTAACTGTGATTAAGTTGGAGATGGGATAAAGCACAAAAATGGAAAAGAGAAATATTCAATGATGTCTGACTGACCTAAATATTCCTCTCTGAACCAAAGGCGTTGCAGCAACAGATCTGTGAGAATAAAGAGTGAGAGCAACAAAATCAGACAAAGAACAGTCAGTTATTTAATACACTCAACTTAATTACATTACAGCTTACACAGTATAGGAAGCCTTGCTACATAGAAGACAGAGGTGCTGGCATTACCTCAGCAGGCACACTGAGTTTCAATAGTGAGTTACATGGCTTGTAATGCAATTAACCAATACAGTTATACATTAAAGCATTCGCTGAAAGGTTTACAGTTTTTTTAAAAATGAAACAAAGTCATCTGAGCTGTGAAATTACAGAATTAAAAAAACAGGAAGTGTAAAATGTACAGAAAGGCCAAAGTATTTCCTACTAAGACAAAAAAGGGAAGTTGTGGTACAGGATTTCACAAAAATAGAAGACAGTGTTTTATATTGTTATGACCAGGTAGCAAAATGCCAAGTTAAAAAAAATGGCTTTACTTACATTTTATGTTCAAATTAAAATCCAATAATATCTTGTTCCAAAAGTCTGACAATACGTCACAGTGATGTGGTCAAACCTGAGGAGCAGAAAAATAAATCACAAACACATCCACTGAACCCCAATCCAAAACCCAAAGACATTCAGTTTACTGTTATGTCAAGAATGAATTAAACAAAGCCATCCATGTCAGCTGTGAAATTACAAAATAAAAGAACAGAAGTCTAAAACTATAGAAAGAGAAGCTCATTTTAGAAGCTCGAATCAGCTGGTTTTGTCATTATGATCTTTAAAAATGACCAAAACGATTATTCCATTATGAGAATAGTTATCAACTAATCGTTGCACTTTAGTTGTTATTCCAGTGTCTTGTCACAAACTAACTCTAACTCAGAAATATCCCCCGGCTGCATAAAATTAGCTTAATTGAATAACCCGCCCCATATCCACGTACACAGCTAATACCCGTTTCATCCACTGCAAGCAAATACAGAGAGTATATCAGACAGTCGTATGTAGCTCAGAAAAAGTGTTTATTATAAGTCACTCTGTGTCATTAAACTGCTAAACGATGCAAATGCGCTGATAATATTAGCTCTACCTTCTTTGTCACGACTCACAACAAGCGGAGAGGCGTTTACAACCACAAGGGCACATGTTGTTCTTAGGTTAGTTACTGTTATTTAGTCAAGAAAAAGAAAAAGGTTATGAATACGTACATTTACGGACGAAGAAAAAAGAATAAAGGACGTTAACCTGTGCATCTGTGTTGTGGTTGTCAGAGAAGGCCAGCCGCCCTGCTGGTCCACAAAATGAAAAAACCATGTCGCCTTTTGGACGAGTTTGCTGGCCACCCTGATATATTTAGGCAGTATTTTCAGCTTACAGCATCACATAGTCGAAAAGCAGCCCCATTATACACGTTTTTTTTTAAACCATTGTTTTTTTACAGATTATCTTTAGATACAGAGCATTTAACCGTTCGACTTCTTCCGTTAATTATCGATGTAACGAGGCAGCATCAACCCGAGCATCGACACCAAACCACACTCAACACATAGCAGCATCTTTAGCTTACTTACCTCAGCTTGTGGAAAAATAAGAAACAGCTCCTTGCTGCTTAAAATGTAGTATTTATATTCGTGGCATTTCTTTTGTTTGTTTTTTGTTTGTTTGTTTGCTCTGTGTTGGACGCCCTCTGATTCACAGAGCCGAGGCTAGCAACAGCAGCTCTGACATCTCCGATTCCACTTCCTACAAGAATCTGTCATTTGCATACGGTTTTTTCCATTGGTCAAAACAGCAGATGACGCAGCATTCTTAGCTACGTCAGTCAGTTTCCGCGCCCCTAAATTTTAGACCAATTTATGTTAATCTATCTATTTATCTATCTATCTATCTATCTATCTATCTATCTATCTATCTATCTATCTACTTATTCATTCATTCATTCATTCATTCGTTCTAGTTTTTATTTTCTATTATTTACACCCTATGCGCATTAATTCATATTATTATTTTTTATAAGTTTATGTTTTTAATTTTTTTTTCTCTTATTACTCATACATACGTCCAGGATTTTTGATATCAACGGTTAGCTTGTTCAATTGAGCACAAAAAGTTCTGAATTGTTCTTTGCATTAGGCCTAGACTATATTACCAGCAAGTCGCATAAAAAAAGGTTGCAACCAATATCCAAATCCGTAATTAATATGTTTATTGTATTTTCTCTGTGGATAGATTAGTGTTGGACGAGATCCTTCCTGAACGTGACAAGAACGTGAGCTGAAACCTGTTACATAACTTTTCAGCTTCACTGATCTCCATACAGTACACCGGTATGTAGGTGTGGGTAGCCTAAAGGAGAAGAAACAAGACTATGGGAAACAAAGCAGTTACACTTTGGACAGGAGAAATAGGAGGAAAGGAGAAATAAATTATAGGCCCACCATAAGTATTTTATAAATACATGAGGGCACAGCGCTGAGAAACAAAAGTGAAGTTTAGGAAAAAATATGTAATTATTGTATTCTTACACTTTATATTCATTGTAGATTCCCCTCATTAAACATTAAAGATTAGCTATGTTTGATCCACTTTCATCAATGTTATATTATTACATTACTTCATTTTAGTTTTTCCTCATTGAATGACAACAGAAACCTTGATAAAGGTCAGTTTGTTTTCCAATCCAGCATACCAGTTATGAGCTACTGGACAAGACACGAAACAAATCACCACAAACAGACGCAAAATAACCATAAAAGACTCACAATGACCACAAATGTCACAACTGGTTTGTAATCATTTTGTCTCTCTCAGCCTGGGTGTCTTGTTCATGAGGGACCATTTAAATTGCTGTGCCCAGGGACCTGCATCATAATCTGTTCATGTTTCAAGTATTTAATTAAGCACAATTACAAAATGATAACCATGGCCAACAGTACAGTCCAACTGGAGACTGAGAACAGCCCCTGTTGTAGTGACAGTATAAGATCCACCTGATGGCGACAGAGTTTAACTGATTGTGTTAAGAGATTCCTTAGCCTAGTGATGTGCAATTCATACAATGGTAAAATAAAGTTTAATTATGGGTTCCCTGTGATAACAGAATAATTGAACTTAAATTTGAAATTAAACTATTCTTTTGACAATTTAATGGCCACATTTTGGATCATAAGATGGATTTTTAATGCATTTTGAACACTTGTCATATTTTTTCAGAGCCCAAAGGCTATTCGCATAATGTAGGTGATACATAAAATATATCTATTTACCCTTCTTCCAAGAAATGTGAGAAGAGAGTCAAACTCCCATTTAGAAACAGGCTAAATAATGCCTCTGCCACTTCTTTACAGTATCTCTGGTGGGACAGTTATGGTCTTTCAAATTAGATTTTTTGCCAATTATCCAAGGTGAATGAATGGTAACATGATGTTTTTGTATTACTGCCCTTGACCCCATGAAATAGTAGCCCCAGAACTGGATTTGGTTGGGCCCTGCACTATGGCTGCTGTGTTCCTAAATAGCTGGCAAGGGCCAAATACAGAGTTTTCCCACAGGGATTAATTCAAAGCAGCAAATTGTTAAATCACTCCAAGTTTGATGTTGGAAGTGAGACGTTCATTCTCTGACACCAGACCAAGGCTGGATTACCAACCAGGCAAATTGGGCAACTACCCAGGGGCTCCCCAGATTTACTCCATTTAATCAAATTTCGCAAATTTGTCAGAGATTAGCACCACTTAAGTGTAACATAACCTATGAAAGGTCCTCTTTGTCAAAATCTAGTTTTAAGACGTTTTTAATTTATATTGAGCTCATTTGTTGTAACATCATGTTTCAAATAATTAACACAGAAAAGCCTTGAGTAAGGTGGTATTATTCCATTGCAGAAGAACTGTAATGTATTTTCTTTAAATGTTATTAAAAGGAAGAAAAAAAAACAGAAAACACATTCAAATTGCTACTAGTTTGCTTGTATTGTCTGATCAAGTCAAAAATCCAAAAATGCTGAATTTACTGTCACAGAAAACCTGCAAATATTCACATTTGAGAAGCTTGCTTAAAAATGATTTGAAGAATACATTTTCAAAATTGCTGTCAATTTTCAGTCAATCATCTAATTGATTAATTAACTAATAATTTCCACTCCTGGGTACAGTACTGGTTGGTTTCTGTGTGTCTGGGGAAACAATGACACTGTGTTCGGTGGACGAACAACAACTTTTCACCCAAGGGCCTCCTAAACGGCTAATCCAGCCCCGCTCCAGACCCCACCAATGAAGCCTGCAAATGAAAAATGATCATTATTTCCTTGAATGTGCATCTGTGTGTTGTAGGTCATGAGCAACAGGTATTTTCATTTTCACCTGGGTTTGAAGAAAATAGTGTATCAATATTCCCAGGGCCTAATTCAATAGTCACACCTTTCTGTCAAATGTTGCCTTCCCTTGCTCATCATAAAACAAGATATTTAATAACACAAACTTTTAAGATCATGGTATGACAATGAATTAGACTGTCCAATGGATTGCAATAACTTAAATTAGAATTAAGAGCATAATGCCTGTGGTGAGATTCATCTGCTAGTGGGCCAAAGGATGAAAATTTGTTGTTGGATACCTATTGACCCCTGCTATAGGCTACATAGCAGTGTAATTATGTTACCAAGAAACTGGCAAGAATTCTAGAGCTGAAATGATAAGTTGATTAAATGTAGTCGATTACAGAAAATTAACCGGCAACAATTTTTAGAACTGATTAATTATCTAAGTCATTTTTTAGCAAAAATGCTGAAAATTCACTGATACCCACCTCCCAATACTACCTTGCCTGGGGTTTTATGCGTGTTAATCATAGGCAGAGCGAGGGGGCAGCTGATGGGGCTCCAGCCCTATGTTTTCCCAAAAGCCCCAAATCTTATATGAAGTTTATTATAACACTATATATATTTATAACTTCAACTTGGTGTCATTTCTTCTCAGTCTCTCTGACTGGACTGGCAAATCAATGGCGCTCTGTTAGTACTGTACTGGGGAATTAGCCATTTACATTATTATTTATTTTTGGAGAGCTGGGCAAGCCATGAGGGAAAATGAGTAAGAGAGTGCAGGGACAGGGCAGGACAACTTGTGGACCAGGAGAGGAAGCAGGAATAGAAAAGAGTTAAAAGCTGAAGTTAAGAGAAAAAGAGAGGAGAAAATGTGTGATGAAGAACCAGGAGAGGTGGAGAACAGGTGAGAAGAAGACAGAAGATGAAGGATTTGAAGAGTGAAGAAGAGAGTAGAAAGGGAGGAGTGAGAAAGAAAGGGAGGAAAAGAATGAGGGAGAGAAGGGGAAATAGGACGTGTAAACTTGTGCAGTTGAAGAGAAAGAGGGATGGGTATGGAGGTAGATTTTGTCACAATATTATTTATGTGAACTGATTGACAATCAGTGAGTAAATGTGTACCTGTACATAAAAACACCTTCCACAAATACAAAAAAAACATTTGTAAACTCACAAAAATATCTTGCGAATATGAAATGGATCTACAAACAAATGTAACAAATAAAAACATATCTGTGAATGCATTCAATGATTTTACAAATAAATGAAAAGCATTAGTGAATATCTTCCTAATAGGCTAATAGAAAGTATAAATTAAACTTATCATGCAAACATACACTATACAAAAAGAGGTCACTGTAAATGTGCATTTATTGACATTTTACTACCAAAACGAGTTATCATGCATGAATACAAGTGTACATAGTATACATTACACCTCATCCTAGAGAAACTCCCCGGTGAGAAGCAAGGAAAGAATTGTCTCCCAACTTGCCCCCCCCCCAGTTGCTAGTTGCTACCACTAGGTGGTATACCAACCACCAATAAACATAAAAGGAGTAAAGATACAGGTGGAGGCAAAATGCATCATGTAAAATAAATACAAATTAATAAAAAATGTCTTTGCTGCAGACTGCTTGCTAGGGATCGAAAATAAATGAATTCTGAAATGTGCTACTTTGGCTCTAATGCAGATGTCCCTCTCTGTAGTCACCACTCTGGTCCGGAGCAGTGTCCCGCCCAAAGCACCATCTGAAAGAAAGAAATAGCTTACCACACTGAAGGCTACTGTGTACAGTAGGAAGTGCACGGACAGATGCACAAGACAAGCAGAGGGAGGAATCGGGAGCCAGAACAAGCCTCTGAGAGGAAGCTGCCGCCCGCGGGTCGGCCGACAGCCCGTCCTCCAGTCAGCAACGAAATGAAACCAGGTCAGGGGGCTCTGCCCCGCCTTGTGAATATCCCTTGGGGACATTAGTAACACTCTGAATCATGGTTTTTGTGTTCTCCTTACTGTCGGAGATTTTGCTGTGTCCTCAAGTGGTCAGTCCTGGGCGTGATCGTGGGCTCCCGGAAAACTCCGTAGCTTTTCACTTGGGGGGGATAATCGGTGTGGGCACCAAACAATCACAGACATTATATTTTATTTAATTTAATTTAATTTAATTTAATTTAATTTAATTTAATTTAATTTAATTTAATTTAATTTAATTTAATTTAATTTAATTTAATTTAATTTAATTTAATTTAATTTAATTTAAATTTTATTTTTGGCCGTTTAGGGATTTTGAAAGGCGGCACCTGAGAAGCAGCCTGGACGTTGAACACGGAGGCATAAGTCAGAAATGACCGGTATTCTGCTGCACAGGAGAGGGGGGAACCGGGACTTTGAGAGGGAGTCTTT